ATTAAGTAAAGACTTGTGTCGTTAAAATTTCGTCGGAACGAAGTTACGGAAAAATCAATAAACGAAACGGAGATGTAACAGTATCATCCTACAAACTGTAATTAATATTATCAGATTTATGAAACAAAATATCTACATTACAGGTGATTGAAAGATTGCAAAGGATAACAGAATTATTTCTACTTGATGTTGTGAGATAAGAATCTATAAAACCCACCTTTGTATAGTGAGAGATTTACCCATTTTACGTAGCCAGTTTTGTTTTTCTTTTCAAAATTAGTTTTTCACATGCACCTATAAAACTACAGTTAGTAAAATAACAAGTGAAAAAAAGATCACCTGTAAGTTTTTTTCATTTAAAAAATATTTATTATTAATTGTTACAGTTTAACAATATTACTATTGTTTCCTTACAAAATCTCATAAAATAATTGTAAGTTTGTGATAGACCTTGTTCTTTGTACCTATCATAAATTAGTACTAAATTACTAAGATTGTTACCAAATACACATATATCTCCTAGAATAAATTAATGCAAGTTTTTATATTCATTTAAGTTTGTGGATGATGGAGAGAGAATGAAACAAAGTAAATAAACAAACATGAGAACGTTTAGTTGTCCAAAAGTATTGTAGTTTCAAGTATTATGTGTACTTCTAGATGTGTTCAGTCAAGCTTCATCAATAGCAAAAAACTGTAATTTTTCCCACCTCATAAATGAATTTATACATAATGCCAGGTTTTGTTTGTACCACCTAGTATTACTGAATTGATATCTGATACATATATTGCTCGAATCTTATATTGTTCAGCAGACTTTTTCTAAATATATATAATTTTATTTCAAACAATACATTAACATTACAGAAAAATATTCACCCTGTTTTTATTAAACATAGATTACAGAATAAGGAAAAACTGTTCCAACCCTTTAACACCAAAATATTGAATCTCATTGCAGATTTTTGGTGAGCTGGTGTTGGGACTATCACAGGGGTCAGTCAGTGAATTGTTATCGAAACCAAAACCTTGGCACATGCTCAGTATTAAGGGAAGAGAGCCTTTCATTCGAATGCAGTTGTGGTTAACTGACCCCAAAAATGTAGAAAAGTTGCAGTCTATTAAAAACCAGAGGAGAGGAGGTAAGGAACGATTTCAGTACATATTAAATGATGCATGGCTAGATAGTTCAGATATTTGTTCAACAAAAAATACACATAGTTCAAAATGAATACAAAACTATTTAAATTTTCAAAATCATTTTATGTACCCATTACATAACATAACGTAATGTTTTGGGACAACAAGGGACCTATTAGCCCATCTCAACTGTCCCATCTTTTAAACTAAACTAAAACTATTATTAAGAAGAAAGAAAAAAAATCTTAAAGCCGGCCCTTATCATTTGTATAGTTATCAAGCTTACTCTTAAACTCACTTAAATTTGCCAGGTGGCACAGCGGTATGTCTGCAGACTTACAACACTAGAATCTGGGATTCGATACCCATGGTGGGCAGAACACAGATAGCCCATTGTGTAGCTTTGTGCTTAACTACAAACAAACACATACATTTACTGCCTCCAAAACATCTGAAAGCAACCCATTCCAAAGCCATCCACCCTGTTACAAAAATAAAACTGTCTTAGCTGAAGATGGCTCCTACCCTACCAAAATTTATACTTGTGTCCCCTAGTTGTACTATTCTCATTGTTAAGTATAAAAAAAAGATTATGCATCAACATTATCAATTTCATTTACAATTTTAAACACCTCAATCAGATCTCCTCTAACTCTTCTTTTTTTTTGAAGAGAAAACAATTTGAGAGATTTCAGCCTCTCCTCTTATGTAAACCCCTCCACCCCAGGCACCATTATAGTAACCCTTCTCTGAACTCTTTCCAACAATTCAGTGTCTTTCCTAAGGTAAGGAGCCTAAAATTGAACACAATATTCCAAATGTGACCTAACCAGTGACCTATACAATGAAATTATACCCTCTTTAAACTTGTATTCAATATTTCTGTAGATGCGACCTAAAATCCTATTTGCCCTACCACTAGCAACAGCACACTGCTTGGATGGCTTTAGAGACTGATCAACTATTACACCAAGATCCGTTTCCTTCATAACACTGTTAAGGTTATTCCCATCCAAATTATACTTATAATTCAAATTATGATAACCCACGTGCATTATCTTGCATTTATTATAATTAAAACCCACCTGCCATTTATTTGACCAACTCACTAAATGATCTAAATCTTTTTGTAAATCAGCAGCATCCTCTTCACAGCTAGCAACACCCAAGAACTTAATATCATCTGCAAATTTAAGTAATTTATTGACCATTCCTTCATCTATGTCATTGATGTAAATCAAAGAGCAAAGGTCCTAAGACTGAGCCCTGAGGTACCCCACTTGTTACATTAACTCAGTTTGACTGAACTCCATTTGTAACAACCCTCTGCTTTCTTCCATCCAGCCACTCTTCTATCCAATTTGCTAACTTATCCCCCACACCTATAATTTATTTGCAAGTCTTTTATGTGGCACTTTGTCAAATACTTTCTGAAAATCCAGATACACCAAATCTATACCTTTAACTTCATCTACATAAGCAGCAACTTTTTCAAGAATGTCAAAAGATTTGTAAGGCAAGATTTTTCCCTTAGTGAAACCATTAAAATTCTAAACTTTGTTAAATGGCTTTGCAGAGCATCTTTTATCAGAATTTTCAAAACTTTTCCCACAACTGATGTAAAACTAGTGGGTCTATTATTGCTGGGAAAATTTTTATCACCTCCTTTGAAAATAGGAGTGACATTAGCTAAATTCCAATTCTCTGGTACCTGCCCACTATTCAAGGACCAAAAATAGTAGCAAGTAGCTCACATATCCAATCCTTAACCTCCTTCGAAACCCTTGGGGAAATATTATCTGGCCCAGTATTCTAGTAACAAAAAACAATGTGGTTGAGTAAATGCACCCTAAATGAAATAAAATATCATGATCATTTTAAAAATATAAAGTCATTTCTGAGTATAAAATTTTTTTTCGTTGATTGTTAAATATTTAATTGTCTATTGAAATCTCACATTTATCTGTTGAAATCTTACGGTTAGTATAAATTGTTTATATATCAAATCTCAACCTGCTTGATCAATACTGTTTTCATTTTTAGCAAACAAAAGAAAAAGAAATCACACAGATGTCGAGATTCCCTGGTCTACTTATGAAAACCACACCTACAACTACGCTTTCCCTCCACCTTCACCGTATCTTTCAGCCAAGAAATCACGATTCTTGTTCTCTGAAGAGCAAAAGGAAGCACTCCGTTTAGTTTTCTCCATGGATCCATATCCAAGTACAGCCACAATTGAGTTTTTAGCAAATGAACTCAATTTATCAGTCCGAACAATAACCAATTGGTTTCATAATCACCGCATGCGTCTCAAACAGCAACCGTTTGCTAACAGTGATGACTACTTATCCAATGAAATTGGAACAGGCAAAATACCTTCAGCACACACATCAGGAATGAAGGATGGTACAAAGTTTGATCCTGTACAGTTTCGATTGATTCTGAATCACCGGCTTGCAGAACTGACTCAAGAAAAAAACAGTAATAAAACCCAAAAAATATGGTCCTCTACCATTCTGAACAGTTCAGCACTTTCCACCCATGATGATTCTTGTACTTTGGACCTGAGTATTTCTAGTCAACGTTTTCCCCATAGAGGTAACAATTATTATGAACTCAACTCTACCTCTGAAACTGCAAGTGCTGGAAATGATGATCATTCAAACAGTGAGCAAAATGATGATTCAAGTTATTCCTTTGAACGAGGCTTATCAGAAAGTAGTGACAGAGAATCTACAGATGACCAACCCCTGTCCTTTTCTACATATGATCCACATCAGAAACAAACAAATTTACAAAAAAAAGCAACAGACCCATCTAGCAGCAGTAAACGAAGGAAACCTGCCATGCCACAGTGGGTGGACCCAGGACTGGAGTTGTCTCCTGATAGCGATCTCTACAGTGAAAGTGAAGATAATGATATAGAACCAGAAAGTAAAAAAAATAAGGAGATTATAAATGGGGTTTGTGTTCTTCAGACTGGAAACTTTGATTTGTGCATGCCTAAGGAAAACACGGTACGGATTGAGCCAGCTCCAGCTCCAGATGAACACGAAGTAAACCCTAGAAGCAAGAAGGAAACTACGACGAAAAATAACACAGTAGATTCTATGAACATACAAGTATCAGTGAGATCTGATAATAAAGAAATCAGAGAAGATATCAAAATTGACAGAAAGTATAATATTGAAAGGCTTGAAAGGTGTTTAAAAGATCAGGAGGAAGGTTGGGATATTGATGAAGAGACAGAAAAAGAATGCAATAATAATGAAACATGTGATGGCAAACATAAACATAAAACTCTAGGGCAGATGGGTGTTTTGATGAAGTAACTTAGGTTTTACTTAGAAAAAGTAAAAGAAAGAGATAATGATTTACTTAAACTTGTCTAAAAAATATGTAATGTGCTGTAAACACAGAAAAGGAGTGGTATTCATGGAGCTGGGAATCATTTACACTTTTAGTGACCATGTGTTTTGTGTTTAACACATCTTGGCTTGCAAGTGGCCTTAGAGATATTAAACCTGAACTATAAAATAGTGGGAAATAACTTTAGGCTTAACTGGACATGAAATAAATAGATTTAATTAATATCGGATGTAAGGGCAGTTCCAAGAGACATGCAAATACAATGTGATAATGCCATTATAGCCTTCTTGTTGCAGCCAGAGGAGGCTCATGTATTCAGTATAGTTGCCATCTAGAGCCTAACATCCACAAAGTGGTCCTCTAGAAATTAGGCTTTATTTGTCAATGTTCAAATAAGTAAAAACGATGTCTCATAACTGTGTGATTAGTGGAAAGGATTTTTTGCATGCGATGCTCAGCATAGTCACCATACATATTCAATTCTCTGTGTTCTAATTGGAAATGTTTTGAATTGTATATAGTTAAGTCAAATTATGTTTAGAAATAGATGGGTACAATTTTAAATTTTTTTAATTATTTTGATTTTGTTCTTTCTTAACCGAAGAATTCGTAGATAAAGAAGTATGCATTAATTTACTTTTTTATCACTTGTGTGTAATTTCTTTTATACGTATGGATTGCAGGTACGTAAGCATTATTTATCATTAAAAGGTTACAATATTGTTTTCATTCTTCTAATAATGCCTTTCTGTATCGTTGCTGAGGTCAATCAAAGAAACCGGTGACTAGCACTATCTCATCTTAACTAAGATTTACTATTATATAAAACAAAATAACCTGGGTTCTGGTTTATCTAGATAACAGTGCCCTGGAGAATTTGGAGGTGCATTACATCATAACTCTAGTCCAGAAACAGGCTTATTAGACCTGGTCCACTAGCTTAACTGTTTTATATATATATATATCTGTGTGTTTTCTTAATATTTAGTAAATTCTTCTTACACTCGTCAAAAAATTCAAATTTAAATAATGCCATCTGCATTATTTAGAGAACTTTTAACATTTCATGTTACTTGTAATACCCCTTTCATGTGAATAGTTGCTTTTTTGTTGTTCTTACACTTCAGCCTTAGAAGACTAAATTCACTTCCTCAAGCAAATACTTGAATCAGTTTTCAACCAACATGTGTTTGTCACATTAGTTATACATGCCTGACATAGTGAAAAATACCATTAAAACAGAAAAGCTTACTTTATTTTAATATTTAGAGTATTGTAGGATAGTACTAATGGTTGGAGACGGCTTGAATGGGTAATGAAGAAAAACTTTAATATAAGTTTAACATAACAGCAAATGTACAACGTTTCGACAAGGTTTTGTCATCATCAGGTACCCACTACGTTTGCTGTTATGTTAAACTTATATTAAAGTTTTTCTTCACTACCCATTCAAGCCGTCTCCAGCCATTATTAGTCTCAAAGTGGGTTCCTCGTCATCGAATTATGGGATAGTGATATCTTGAGGTGAATATTTTTATGAAAAACAAAATTTAGAAGTTTCTCCTGATCCTTATTTACTCAATTCAAATTTCGCACAAACAAATTTGGATAAAGAATCATTTTTAGGTCTTTTAATTAAAAATAATGAGAGAGGCCACTATCTGTAATGTTCAGTTAAGCTAGCTACTAGTTTAGATGAAATGAACTTACAGCATAGAAGTTTCTACGTCACTATGGGGGCCCCCAGTGGCACAGCGGTATGTCTGCAGACTTACAACGCTAGAAACCAGGTTTCGATACCCGTGACGGGCAGATAGCCCTTGTGCAGCTTTGTGCATAATTAAAAACAAACAAATAAACAAACAATCACTTTGGGTGAATGGCAAAAACCATTTATTTTCATGTTTAGTTTGTGATGTAACTTTTGTCTATTTTAAAAATAAGAGTCAAGATATGCAAGTGATTTCACCCCCCCCCCCCACACACACATAAAGAAACTTTGAGTACCAGTAATGCTTGAATATATCCTGGTTATTTACTTTGACATGAAAGGTGGCCGTTTTAGAGACCAAACACTAGTATTTCTTATTTTAAAACTTAGACTGGTTCAGTATTCTAATTTACTATCAGTGTGTTTGTATTTATTGTATACATTTGTGAATGAACCGGTAGGATACAAACTGAATTGCTTTTAGTGGTTCCATTTATTTATTTTTTTTTAAAGCTGTTTTTATAGCTTTAACATTTAGTTGTAGCCATGCAATTTACTAACGCTATGATTTATCACATAGCATCACGGTTAATTACCTATTAAGGTGCTACTTCGCAGTGATAATTTCATCAACAGAAGCTATATTACACGCTTCTGATAACATCACAAACATCGTAATGATGATAAATGCTTGATTAAGTTCGATGTGAGTTGATCACATTACAGATTGAAGGCTTCAACGTAAAAGCATGCAAGTTTATTACTGAAATAATTTAACAAGTTTTTTAACGAAAATTTTATGGCTTTTCTCTTCCCTGTTGAGGACAGCAAGAGTTTTTATTCCACTGCACGTGCTTTGTTCTTTATATATATATAAACACCACTTTCATCGTTTTAGAAATGTCAGTATTAATTTTTCATTTAGCAACATAACACTGAAAAATATTCATGTAGATGGTGTTCATATTACATTTAATTTTAGTTTTAAAAAGATATTTTGTATTATCTAGTGTAACCGAACGCTTAACTTTCTCTCCTATTTTTCATCATTTACTTATTTAATGGTCAGTAACTCCTAAAGCATAAATGAAACTGTAAGTAACCATCTCAGTATACTTTTATTTCCTATGATACTTCAGTCGAACAATAATTTCTTCAGTCTTGCACCTAAATCTTTAACCCTTACTTTCCAGTTCGACCAAAAAACACCTAACATAACGATAACACATCACTGGACGTAAAAAATTAAAAAGGTTCACTAGTGAACTTATATTTCAGGCAGAAGTATCAGATAATATTTCCGTGTAGTTTGATCTAAGTATTTGTTATCCGACAAATGTACGATTAATAACCATAAGTTCTTTTGGTGAACCGTTAATCTGTCATTAAGTTTGGCCATGAAGAGAAAACGATTATTTGATAATCATAAGTTCTTTTGGTGAACCGTTAATCTGTCATTAAGTTTGGCCATGAAGAGAAAACGATTATTTGATAACCATAAGTTCTTTTGGTGAACCGTTAATCTGTCATTAAGTTTGGCCATGAAGAGAAAACGATTATTTGATAACCATAAGTTCTTTTGGTGAACCGTTAATCTGTAATTAAGTTTGTCCATGAAGAGAAAACGATTATTTGATAATCATAAGTTCTTTTGGCAAACCTTTAATCTGTCATTAAGTTTGGCCATGAAGAGAAAACGATTATTTGATAATCATAAGTTCTTTTGGCAAACCATTAATCTGTCATTAAGTTTGGCCATGAAGGGAAAACGATTATTTGATAACCATAAGTTCTTTTGGTGAACCGTTAATCTGTCATTAAGTTTGGCCATGAAGAGAAAACGATTATTTGATAACCATAAGTTCTTTTGGTGAACCGTTAATCTGTCATTAAGTTTGGCCATGAAGATAAAACGATTATTTGATAACCATAAGTTCTTTTGGTGAACCATTAATCTGTCATTAAGTTTGGCCATGAAGAGAAAACGATTATTTGATAACCATAAGTTCTTTTGGTGAACCGTTAATCTGTCATTAAGTTTGGCCATGAAGGGAAAATAAAGAGTGAAATTACATAATGGATAGCTTTTCAAGGTACTAACTAGCATTATTTTGTCTTCTCAGAACCGTATAGTTTCAACGAAATCTGAAAATGTTTCATTCTTGAATGCATATACAGTATTTTGTACGGCATAGTTTTATCCCGTTATTTTGGGAAGGTTTTTAAGGTTCTCAACATATACGAATTGTTGTTACTGTTTATTACTTTTTGTTTAAATGTGTCTTAAAATCGAGTTCTTGTTGTTCTAGTTTACTCACGAGCATGAGAGAAGCAGAATTATCTGGCTTCAGAAGCGTCGCTAGGCACTGGCATACGGACCCGTGTATTGTCCCGAATCCCGAATTGGATATCATACTATAACGCCGAAAATTTACGCGCCCGAATTTTTTAAGCACCTAGCGACGCCTCTGCCTGGCTTAACAAATTCAACTTCATGTTGTTGTTTTCTCCTGCAGTATTATGAATTTTTTCAACACTGTAATGCTATAATAATGTAAAACGTATTTTTAACGAAACAAAAGTTTTTAGATGTGCGCGAGTGAGATTTGCCAGACCGATAAGGGAAAACTGTAACCAAACCTCTAATGACACTCTCCTGTCACCTTTCATAAAAACACCTGTTTCTTATCATCACAATATAATATTTCAAACCTATTGTACCTTTTCTGTAGTGATATTCATCTTGTAACTTTTCGTTTTGCAATTTCAAAAATATATTATGCAAAAATGAACAGTCGTAAGGCGTCGCTACTTGTATACACGTAGATGAAACGTTAGCCTAGATTGAAACGTAAAATATGCGCTCGCTTTTCTAATATGTCTTTTTGTTCTTTTTTATACATTCACGGGAACTTTTCCCAATAACTTAGATATTTGGCATCCCTAACTTGCAATATTTTTAATAGTTCAGATTTTGCCTTTATCGTTGTAATAATTATATATCGCCGTGCGTTATATATATCGCTAGCTGTTTTTGTTTGTTTTCCACTTTTTTTTTGTGAGATAATGATGTGACTATTTAGATGTTTTGTTCAAAAGCTTTGAGCATAAAACACACTGTGTTATGTGTTTCCTTCCTGTACGAGTGACAAAAGAAAAATATTGCCCAAGCTCAACAGTGTGTGGATAGTGGACTTGTAGCAGACTCCAAAAGAACACGTATTGTAGTGGGGGTCATTTTAAGTTATTGATTTAGAATCGACGATGTTATTAGATGTTTAGCACTACGTGGATTCACGTGAAGTTAGTTGTTTTAGTTTAAGTGTATAGTTTTTCAAAAGTAAACTGTTGCCGCAACAAAATGTGTTTTGAATATGTGTATCATACAATGTGATTATGATTATGGTGTACCGGTGAAGTGAGGCAGGTCTCTACCCTTTTTTTTTTATTACATTGTAATTCATGTTTGAATATGATGAACTATGTATTGTTGCTGTTCAATTTCTTCAGATGTGATAATAATATCATTTTATCAACTGCCAATTGTTTTAGGACAATTGTTGCCTTTTCAAAATTTAAACCACATTTGTCGATTTTGAGGAGTGTGTGGTTTTCTGTGAGTGTTTGTTCAAGTTTTTCAGTCTTGCACGAAAATATCCATTTCATTTTCTCTCTAGCATTAAGTTGATCATGTAATTTCAACATATGAAAAAAAACAAAAAAAAAACATTTGTGGTAACTTTACGCCTTTTTCCTCAATTATTGTCATAAACCCCAGAACCTGTGTGGCTGGGCGTTTGATATTCAAATTCATATTGATATTTTTATTCCAATTTCATATAATAAAGTTGGACATTCTTCAGAGAAAAGATTACTGTGTGTTACTCCTTTATCAAAAAACATACATTTCAAAAAAGATAACTTATTTAAAAAAACTAATACAACGAGCTTCCTCCTCTCGCCATGGCGACAAGCAAATAAAATCACCTAAAAACTGCGTTCTCCTAAGATATGTATTTTAACTTTTCCGTGTTTTTAAAGGTACAAACATAAGCTTAATAATGTGACTTAACAACTTAGAACTACAGCTACAGTTTACTTGTATATAATAGTTAGATCCAAGGAAAACGCAGCTACATTTTACTAGTTTATAATAGTTAGATCCAAGGAAAACACAGCTACAGTTTACTTGTTTATAATAGTTAGATCCAAGGCTATTATAAACAAGTAAAGTGTAGCTGTGTTTTCCTTGGATCTAAAAAACACAGCTACACTTTACTTGTTTATAATAGTTAGATCCAAGGAAAACACAGCTACAGTTTACTTGTTTATAATAGTTAGATCCAAGGAAAACACAGCTACAGTTTACTTGTTTATAACAGCTAGATCTAAGGAAACACAGCCACACTTTACTTGTTTATAATAGTTAGATCCAAGGAAAACACAGCTACTGTTTACTTGTTTATAATAGCTAGATCCAAGGGAAACGCAGCTACAGTTTACTTGTTTATAATAGCTAGATCTAAGGGAAACACAACTA